CTAATATTTACAACAAGCCCTGAGGCTGTGATTCCGACGTCCGTTTGACATCTCTTTGGGTATTCTGCCTCCTTCAGTTGATAATATTTTCTCTGGCAAAGATGGGTGATCTACAATATTTGTCTAAAGGAGAGAGATGAAATGGCTAAAAATTCAGCCATAAAGTGTGTTCCCCATTCTGAAGCAATCAAATTGGTAGTAAAAGCATGGGAAAGAGTGAACTTCTCAATTGTCCTGAGTCTGTGACCTAACACAATGACCCCACCCTGTAAGAAAACCAGCAATTTCCTATGAAAGAAGAAGTTGTCAAATACTAAAGTTAGTGTCACGCCACGGTAGATAGATAAGATGCAGGGATTAGGGTTCTAGCCAGCCCCTCTGAGTCATCTCTTACCCCTCCATAGCTTTCTGACCTTTGAGCTCTTTACTCACTATTTCTAATTCTGATCTCAACCTTGTTGGATTGTTTCAAAGATCAGAACTAGCACACACTTAGGACCTGGCAGGTGGTAGACACTTTATACCAGGGGTTTCCCCTGTCTTTTAGGACGACTTCTTTATGCCTGCTTGCCTAAACCTATATGTACTTCAGTCAGTTTATTTATTTATTTTTATTAAATCATAGCTATGTACATTAATTCAATCATGGGGTACAGTGTGGTGTCTTCATATACAATTTGAAATACTTTCATCAAACTGGTTAACAGCCTTCATGTCATTTTCTTAGTTATTGTGTTGAGACATTTATATTCTACTCTTAGAAAGATTCAGTTGTACCCTTGTAAGATAAACCATAGAGGTGATCCTTGATCACCCTCCCTCCACCCACTTCAGTCAGTTTAACAAGTAATGAGTTATTTAAAGGTAAACACAGGAATCACCTGTCCTGAGTCATCAGTTTCTTCCCGGAGCGATAGTTTAACGTAGAATAAGTTTACATGCCATTACTCCTGTGAGGTACAGGCTCCTCTGCCAGACTCTGGATTACAGTTGGAGGGAAAGGGACTGACAGAAAGTAAACCTTTATTGTATCATTACAACCTGACAACCGAATGTGCCAACACTCATAAAGTTATGACTCAAACGAAAATGACGCATCTCACAGTTTGTCAAATCAGTGCCTAGGGGCATGTCATAGATTTGTCAGGCCAATGAGCTTTGTTAAAGACTTTGGAGTGAGATAAGAAGAGATTTGTTCCTCAGCATAAAGCATACACAATAACCCTGTGAGTGAGGTTATATTCACCTCATTTTTATAAATGACAAAGTAATGGCCCAAACAAATTGCAGACAGCCACACGTTGCTTAACAATGGGGATATATTCATCCTTTGAGCTTAGAAATTCAAGACCAGCCTGAGCAAGAGCAAAACTCTGTCTCTGCTAAAAATAGAAAAACTAGCAAGATGTTGTGGCAGGTGCCTATAGTACCAGTTACTTGGCAGGCTGAGGCAAGATTAATCGAGCCTAAGAGTTTGAGGCTGCTGTGAGCTATGACAACATGGCACTTTACCCAGGGTGACAGAGTGAGACTCTATCTCAAAAAAATATAATCAAATCAATAACGACCTAGTGATATGGCCTATTACACATCTATGCTATAAGTCTGTGCAATGGGTTACCATACTAAGTACTATACACAGCTGTAACACAATGGTGGGTATTTTTGTATGTAAATATAGAGAAGCACAGTAAAAATATGTTGTAAAAGATAGCAGACAGTATCCCTGTATAGGGTGCTTACTATGAATGGAGCTTGACAGGACTTCAGATTCCTCTGGGTGAGTCAGTGAGTGAGGGGTGAGTGAAAGTGAAGCCCCAGGATACTCTGTACACTCCTGGGGACTTTATAACCACTATACACTCAGGCTACACTAAATTTATTTTTTAAAAGTCTTTTATTCAATAAATTAACTTAGCTTACTGTAACTTTTTTAGTTACTAACTTTTTATTTTAAAACTTTTTCTCTCTCTCTCATAATAATACTTAGGTTAATATACAAACATTATAAAGAAGTACAAAAATATTTTCTTTATATTCTTATTCTATAAACTGTTTTCTATTTAAAATTCTTCTTAAATTTTTACTTTTCAAACTATTTTGTTAAAAAGTAAGATATAAACACACCCATTAGTCACAAAGAGTCAGGATCATTAGCGTCACCACATTCTGCCTCCACGTCTTGTCCCACTGGAAGGTCTTCAGGTAATGTGACCAGACGTCCCACTTTTGGCAGGACAGTCCCAATTTTCAACAATTTGTCCTGCGTCCTAAGGTGTTTTTTAAAAGTCCAGATTTTTAGAAAGAATGCATAGCTAGGGAACAGTGGGAGAATGGGAAGGGAATATATGGTTTTCTTGGCTGCTGAAAAGGTTAATGTAACTCCATTTGGGAATGAAGAGGTTAATGTAACTTCATTTGGGAATGAAAAGACTAATGTAAACTCCCTACTCCCCTCCTGGGCAAGGTTGCCCAGGTGGAATCCGTATCCCTCCTTCTAGGCAAGGACAATTAGCTCAGAAGGAGCCAAACTGTCTGGAACAAACAAGTAGCTCCCCCCTCTCTAGAGTAAGGTGACCAGACCTCCCGCTTTTGGTGGAACAGTCCTGATTTTTAACAATTTGTCCTGTGACCTGGGCATTTTAAAGAGCCCTACTTTTTGGAAAGAATGCATGACAAGCTAGGGAACAGGGGAGAACAGAGACGGAATATACGTTTTTGGCTGCCATGTGGCTATTTCACCAGGATATGTGTTTTATGTTATTTTTGTTAATTTTATAATGTTAAACTTTAATAATAACAAATAATTATTGAAAACTGAATATGGAGAACTGCTTATCAAAGTTTGCATTGTTGTCTGGCCCTGCTCCCCCTCAATGGTGTCCCACTTTACCAATGTTAAAATCTGGTCACCTTATCTTTAGGGGCAAAAACACTCACAGTTATCATCTTCTTTGGTAACAATGTCTTCTTATGGAACACCTTCTGAAGGACCTGCCTGAAGCTATTTTGCAGTTAACCTCTTTTATATAAGTAGAAGGAAAACACTCTAAAATAATGATAAAATATATGGCAACTGCACAGTAACAGAGTCATTTGTTATTCTTATCAAGTTTTATGCCCTATACGCAGTTGAGTGTATTACACTTTTATATGATGGGTAGCACCATAGGTATGTTGACTCCAGCAGCACCATGAATACGACAGTAATGTTTTGTGCTGTGGTGTTATGGTTCGCTATAGTATGGTCAGATGTTGCTTAACAAAGGGGATATATTCATCCTTTGAGCTTAGAAGGATGTCACTGGGTGATAGGAACTTTTCAGCCCCATCACAATCTTACAGGACCACCATCCTATTTGTAATCTGTTGGTGACTGAAATATACTGTGTGACTATACTTGGTTCCACACTCCCCGCCTATACTTGCTCAAAGTCTAGGAAGCTTTATCTGAGTCTTTCTGTCAGTAGCTTTCCCTCCAATTTTCAAGCTGAAACCTACCACATTGTAGAGCAAATGTCTTGGCTGCGTTAAGCCACATGTTGACTTCACTGGCTTAGTGCGTATCCAAGTCTGTCTCCAACTCTGGCTGGGAGGTCTCAGAGCCTCCTAGTTCCTGGAAGTCCCACCTGTCCATCCTAGCTCAAGTAGAGTGAAGAGGGTGGGTGATACTGAAAAGATCATTATTCCGTACTTATTAATTTAACTTCCTATTACTTTGAAATCACATATTTCAACATAATAGAGTTAATTTTTCTTTAGTGAGAGAAAAATATAATTCTATAGTACAAGAATCTCAGGGTGCTTCATATTATAGGTTAATTTGACAAAAAAGTTACTGCAGACTTACTCTGTGTAAATCACTCTATTTGGCTGAGAAAAAAAGAAATAAAATGTGATTAATAGTCAGGGGTAGATGGTTAGACATGTGAAGGAGAAGGTGGGTTTGAAATCATTCCCCATTACAAATCTCAACCTGTCTCCTCTGTTGCACTCAGGGAGCAGGAAAAGAGGGTGGAGAGAATTTTTAAAATCAAAGAAGAGGAAAGTAGAAGAGACATTTCAGTCTGGCATGCAATTTAATTTATTTCAATTTAACAAGTTCTTATGGAGCAGCTACTGTAATCATAGTAGCCTCTCAGAAATGGAGAATGAATGGATGCCAAATGTTCATGCCTTTACTTCTTCTTCCCTCTATAGAACCCCCTTTCCATGGCCCACTCCTTCTCACAACCCTCCTGCTCCAGTGCCAGGAGATCTATCTGAAAATCAGTAACAGCTATTGTAAACAAGGAGTCAGAAAAATTTAGCCGGGTGTCATGGTGGGCACTTGTAGTTTCAGCTACTTGGGAGGCTGAAGCAAGAGGATCACTTGAACCAAGAGTTTGAAATTTCTGTGAGCTATGATGATGCCATGGCACTCTCCCTAGGATGACAGAGTGAGACTATGTCTCAGAAAAAAAGAAGGAAAGAAAAAGGAAGGAAGGAAAGAGAAAGAGAGAGAGAAAATAGTTGTTTTTAATATCATCTTAAATGTCCCTCATTTAGACCATAATTATACTTGGAATTTCATTAATCTACTTATTCCCTACCTGCTTATAATTGTGTGCAAAATATAGTCTTTTGAAAGGAAAATTGTGCTGATTTTAAAATGTCTAAATATTTGGCATTTTACCAGGCTTTTCTGAGCTCTCTTGGTAAATACACAGTCATGAATTATGAAGCCAATTCTTTTTACTATTTACACAAAAACTACTTCCTGGAAATTAATCATTCCTTTCAGTTGAGAAGGTTGAGGGAAATTATTGATATAAGCTGAATTTTCTTTACATTAAATGGTGGTGACCATTCCTGCTGTCATTCAGATTTAAAACACACACACACATGAATCATGCTGTTGGTGATCTAAGTTTTGCTTCCCTATAAAGGGAGGTCTCTAGAGAGCAGAGCTAGAAGCCAGTGGAGAGAGAAGGCAGTTTCCTGAGATAAAGACTCTAAAAATGAAGCATCTGGCCATCCTTGTGCTGTGGTGTCTGCCATTCTGCTCAGCTTATACCTTGAAGAGGGCTGCAAAGGAGGACGCCAGCATGGGTCTTGTCCAGGTAATTACTATTGCAGCCACTGGCCAGTTATAGTGGGGGAACAAGGGTGTCGACTTGGTCTTCCAATATGAAGCAGGAAGAAGTGATCAGAAGTCATTTGGTGGGAATAATGTAGCATCACAGACTATTAAAGTGTCAGAGGTTGGCTGGTTGTGGTGGCTCACACCTGTAATCCTACCACTCTCGGGTACCGAGGAGGGAGGATTGTTTGAGCTCAAGAGTTGGAGACCAGCCTGAGCAAAAGCAAGACCTTGTCTTTACTAAAAATAGAAAAGGTAGCCAGGCATTGTGGTGGGCGTCTGTAGTACCTGCTACTCGGGAGGCTAAGGCAGGAAGATCATTTGAACCCGGGAGTTTGAGGTTGCTGTGAGTTATGATGATGCCACGGCACTCAGCCTAGCAACAGAGTGAGATTCTGTCGCCCCCTCCCCCAAAAAAGTATTGGAGGCATAAATTCTCTTCATTTTAACAGAGAATGAAAGGCACAGGCAGGGGATATAACTACTCGAGGTTAAAAAAAAAATAGTAGCATTAACTTTGGGGCTAAATGAAAAGAACAGATGAAAAATACATGAAACTTCTCTAGCTTTACAATACAATTTCTTTAGTTGACATAATTGGGGAGGGAGAACATGCTAAGTTCGATCTTCAAACAATGTCGGGTGCTAATATTTATATTGTTACTTGTCAGTTTGGGACAAAAGAATTTATCCCACTTTAGTCTTCAACCAGGCCTGAACAATGGTAAGTGGGAAAAGTTAAACATATCTGCCCAAAGTAGTGACACAATTATGGTAAAGGATAATTCCTTAAGAAAGAAAGAAAGACAGACAGACAGACAACATGCTAAACCTGAATTTTCAACTCTAAATTCCTTACTTGACTAGCAAATTAAATTGCAAAAAAGTCTAAAATTTGTATGAAGACAGAGTAATCAAGTCTTCATGAAAAATCAAATTAAATGTGATGCCTACTTTTGTTTAAAAGAAACCAGAGAAAATTAATGTAGATGTAAAGTTTGACTAAATGGCTAAAAATCGTTAAAATGAACTAAAAATTATACTTATTATTCCATTAGAAATATCTAGAAAACTACTATAGTCTCACAAAAGAAGTAAGACAGTTTTTCAGAAGAAGAGACAGTGACTCTCTTGTTGGAAAAATCCAAGAAATGCAGAAGTTCCTTGGGTTGGAGGTGACGGGGAAGCTGGACTCCAGCACCCTGGAGGTGATGCACAAGCCCAGGTGTGGCGTCCCCGATGTCAGGCACTTCAGCACCTTTCCCGGCATGCCGAAGTGGAGGAAAACCCACCTGACTTACAGGTAACGAGTCCAGAGAGTTTCCACCCGAGACTGAAATTGTGTAAGCTGTGTCATTGGAGGAAATACTATCTTCTTTAATTTTTCTCACAAGGATTGTGAATTATACACCAGATTTGCCAAGAGACGCTGTTGATTCTGCCATTGAAAGAGCTCTGAAAGTCTGGGAGGAGGTGACTCCACTCACATTCTCCAGGGTGTATGAAGGAGAGGCGGACATAATGATTTCTTTCGCAGTTGGAGGTAAAAAAAATAGCACATCTCATTATCTGGTGTTTTAATTTATTCAGGCCACCATAACAAAACACCTTAGACTGGGTGGTTTACAAACAACAGAAAGTTATCGCTGATAATTTTGGAGGTGAGAGCTTGTTCCTCATGGATGGCACCTTTTGTATCTACTATCTTCATGTGGGACAAGGGGCCAGGAGGCGCCCAAGCCTCTTCTACAAGGGCACTAATCCCATTCGCCAGGCCAGAGGCCGCATGGCCCAACCCCCTCCTAGAGGCCCCACCTCTTAACACTGTCACATTAGGTATTAAGTTTCAACAGATGCATCTGGGGGTAATACCAACCTTCAACATCTGGTTTTGTCTTATTGAAAAGTGCAAAAAGAAATTCCAAATACTTATATTTCCATTAATTTTTTTGCCTGTCAGAACATGGAGACTTTTTGTCTTTCGATGGACCAGGAGAGAGTTTGGCTCACGCCTATCCACCTGGTCCTGGGGTTTATGGTGATGTTCACTTTGATGATGACGAGAAATGGACGGAGGATGCCTCAGGTAGGTCATAAACCTCTCCGGACGATTCCAGGAATGATGTCCAGCCCTATCCAGGAATAATTGGATTATCCAGAATAAACAGTAAATGGAATGTGCTAGTAACTGACACTTTTTCTTATTTGAGTAGTAAACAGAAGTACTCTTCACTTTAGTCATTACTGATGAATTTTATTTAAAACATTCTAAATTTTTGTCTTTGCCCTGACCAAGCAAAATTATAGTAAGTACCCTCCAATCTTATGTCCACAATTCAAAGTCCTGTGAAGGGTTGGGGATCAGCATAATTCATGTTTTTCATCACTTCAGCCATAGCTGATTAGGGTCAATGAATTCCACTCAATCACTGCCAACTCTAAAATTTTCCCTTGGGTTTCTTCCTTGCTTCTCATTTGCCTTCCTCCTTGTTAAAAGTAGCGGCGAAGAGAATATTTCAGGAAAGTAAAAAAAATTGTTAGGCCATCTGTTTAAATAAGCATGCCACTGCTATTATCTTGGGAGTGTAGTTTTTTGGGGGTTTTTTTGTTTTCTTTTTTTTTTTGGAATTGTTTTGAAGGCCTTCACGGAATTGAAACAGGGGCTAAAATTAACTGCATGGTGTTTTCTCTTTTTCCAGTGGCTTGTGAGGTTTGGAAGCCCACTGTCGAAACAGTCACTATTTCTGAGATCAACTTGGGTCTTTCCTGTAAATGAGAAGCCTGTTGATATTTTACAGAGTACAAAGCTGAAGTTTGTGCTACATAAAATGATCTAGTTTTAATTAAACAACTATTCTTTTCTGCCTAATTGCTTGGAGCCTTGGTCAAAAAGTTTCTACTACTAAATTAAACAAAACTCTTTTTATAATATAAAGAAAAGCTGAATCCAGCTGTGTCTGTGCTGCAGAAAACTGTTATTGGGCTTGTTTCTGTTTTAAACGGAAGTTTGTACATATGCAATGGGAACTTACTACTGGGAAGATTTTTGGCAATCAAAAATTATTTTATGATAATACAGAGAAAGGAGAAGACATCAGCCTAAGTCCCCAGAGGAAATTACCAGAGTTTTGTTGCATAAGAGTTTGGGAATAACGTAACTATTCTATGATTAACTTGAACTGAGGTTGCAACTGTGCATATTACTAAATTTGAACAATGACTTTTTATTTTTAGACAATGAAGAGTTATATTTATCCTTTGGAAACAACACTTATCATTATGAATATAGAAACAGTGACCTAGTTTTCCTGATCAAGGACAGGACTAGGGATATGGTGAAAAGCTGTCTTAAAGCTTAAAAACACACGAATTTCTATGAGGCATAGAATATGCCCACCAATAAACCAATTCACAAATAAGGATAAGACACTGTGATTCACGAAACAAATAGCTGTTAGATTCTGAACATTTATGGTCTTTCTAACAGGGACCAATTTATTCCTGGTTGCTGCTCATGAACTTGGCCACTCCCTGGGTCTCTTCCACTCGGCCAACACTGAAGCGCTGATGTACCCAGTCTACAACTCACTCACAGACCTGGCCCGGTTCCGCCTTTCTCAAGACGATGTGGACGGCATTCAGTCCCTCTATGGTGAGCAACGCTGGAAAAATTCGGCATTGTAGCCTTTGCAAGGCTGGTCGGCAGGAAAGCCTTAAGGTGCTACGTGGAACATTTGTAATTTAGCACAAAGGACCTTGAGAGCGATCGGAAAGCATATACGTTCCCGGACACAGCCCACCTCCCTGACGTTTGCATCCCCGAATCTGTTTCCTTTAGGACCTCCCCCTGCCTCCTCTGATGACACCCCGGTGCCCACGGAATCTGTCCCTCCGCAACCTGAGACACCAGCCATGTGTGATCCCGCTTTGTCCTTCGACGCAGTCAGTACCCTGAGGGGAGAAGTCTTGTTCTTTAAAGACAGGTCAGAACAGAAAATGGTATTTTTCTTTTGGTCTCCAATGCTTAGAATGAAAAACAAACACTTCACAGTGATTTTTAAATAAACTATTTCCTCTGCATTTTGAAATCATTCAGATCTGGATCATGTTGCATTTTAACCTCTCCTTAGAACTGACCAGATCATTTTACTAAGGATGATTCTTAATCGCTAGAGTGTCAGTTTGATGAATTGAATACAGAGGGTTTTGTCTGTTTTGTTCATTTTTGCACTATGATAAATCATGGAACTTCAAAAAGCACTGGTGAGTCTTCAGAAGCAGGGTAATATCTTTACCTTTGCTAACAAATGCCATCACTTAAATTAATTAATTTTAGAAAAAGTGATATACATATGCTTATGGTACAATTTTCAAACAGTACAAAAGATAAAGAGTTAAAAATATCTCTCATGTCTGACCTGTACCACCAGGGCTACAATTTCCTTTGTTTCTTTGCAAAGACATTCTAATGACATATGAACATAAGTACATGTAATATTTTTAAAAGATATTATTGGGCACATAATATGCATTGTTTATAGACTTATAGAATGGAGCCAAGCTAAATAATTGTGTTGGACTGGTCACAATTCCTGGCATAGATTTCATTACTTGGGAATCACCTGCAGGAGGACAGTTCAAGTAGCACTGATTAAAAGAAAGGAACCCATATTACTTTTTTCACCTATCCAAAGGAGAAAGACAATTGCAAATAATTTTTCTGGATTACAGATATTTCTGGCGCAGGACCCACTGGAACGTCAGACCTGAGTTTCATCTGATTTCTGCATTTTGGCCCTCTCTGCCATCGGACTTGGACGCAGCATATGAAGATCGTAGGAAGGATACTGTTTTCATTTTTAAAGGTAAGTACTATACAAGAACTTTTAAAACAGAATAAATCTTACGGCCAAAATGTCATTGACATGAGTTTTCTCCATTACATTAAATTTTAGATGGTTTATTATTGTAAGACCTATGCCAGTACCTAAAGAAGATGTACTTGGTATATGAAGAACATTCTAAGCATTATTTTAAAGCATTTCATGAGGGTAGAGGTGACATCTCATATTCATGAATAAAAAATTCAATAGAGCAAAAATGTCAATTTATTTATAGATTCAAGGGATTTTCAATTCAAATGGCAAAAGATTTTTTATGGAACATGAGAAATTAGCCCCCTAATTTATATGGAAAAGCAAAGGCAAAGAGTAGCTGGGACATGCTCAGTGAATAATAAGAGGAGCAAAGCCGGGCATTGTGAAGCACAGTAAAACACTGCAGTGTCAGCGTGGGGATAGATAAATTAACTAACAGAGCTACTCAAACCAATGAGAAGCTCCCTGTATATTAAAACAAAAAAGTTCCAGGAACCATTTTTCTTTTACTTATCCGGAATCCACCACTTTCTTCTCCCTGTGTTCCCAACACACAGACAACATGTGACGTGGAGCAAGAGGAGCCAGAAGATGGGAGTATCTGGGGTGGGGAAGAACGTATGAGCTCCTATGTGAGATTCCTAAACTGCCATGTCTTCAATCTGTTTTATCAGCAATAAGATTTCTGAGTTTCTGTTGCTTTTTCTGTCAGCTTTGTCAATATATATTTCTGGGAACTTGCCAATTTTGTCTGTTTTCAAATCGATCAGCACAAAGTTTTCAGAGTATTATTTTGTTACCATTTGAATTATTGCTTATTCATCCATCCATTCATTATTCATTCCCCACTCATTTGGGGAATTTTTATTAAAGACCTCTTGTGAACTGAGCATTAAGTTTGGGGTAGGAAGTAAAACCAAGATTTCTTTACCATAATGATGCGCCATAATCATTTCTAAAACCAATGGCTTCACTCAGAATCTCTTGGGCTAATTTTCTTCAATAGGAAATCGGTTCTGGGCAGTCAGAGGAAATGAGGTACAAGCCGGTTACCCAAGAAGTATCCATATTCTGGGTTTTCCTCCAACCATAAGGAAAATTGATGCTGCTGTTTCTGATAAGGAAAAGAAGAAAACCTACTTCTTTGTGGAGGACAAATACTGGAGGTGAGATGCAGCAGGAGTGACTTGGCCAGTGTGGAGCTTAATTAGGGCAGTTACTTTCTTTCTATGAGGATGTCCCTTACTTCCACCCTCCACTTCCAACTTTCTGACCCTTCAGAAGACAGCTTGTGGTTGTTCAGCTTCCCGTATACACAGGCCATTTATCCAGACACCAAAAGACATCAGGAGCGGCCAGCTGGGTCCAAATCACATTCATTTCTCTTGCCATGGCCAGTCCCCATGGGGCTGCATGAGCAAGTGCACCTCTGCAGGACACAGGCTGTGGAGACAAGGTCTTCAGGGTCCTAGTGCTAGAGAGAACCGGAGGTTGGTTGTTCACCAAATGATTTGACTCTTTCTACATCTTATGTGTATATAGTACCTTCATGTGGGTTCCATGGCTTACAAAAGTGACCTCTCACATGTGTATGGAACCTTTCTGGGATGATGGCATGATGTCCCCATTTCTGGGGAAGAAATATTGTTTTATGTGCTAAGCTTGTAAGCCCAGGAAAGTCACATATTATTGTACTCCTAAAAATGTTTAACTCCTCTTCACACAACTTGAAAAGTTTCTATCGGATTCCACACTGGAAAATCACATCCTTCTGTTGGGTGTAATATCACCTCCACACAGTGCTGAGCTGTATTTCTTTCCAGATTCGATGAAAATAGCCAGGCCATGGAGCAAGACTTCCCCAGACTAATAGCTGAGGACTTCCCAGGAGTTGAACCCAAGGTTGATGCTGCATTACAGGCATTCGGTAAGAGGACCCTTGTTCATGGCCAATGGGGGCCCTTCTGGGCAGTTTATGCTTTCAAAATGAAGTAGAGAATTGAAGGAGTTTTCAAATCATTCAGTCTTATATTCTTTTTCCTAACTCCTGAAAATTTTTACTTTCCAATTTATGCAAATTGTGTTTGCATTTTGTTTTTCTTAGATAACTTCCATGTCTCTGTTTTATACCTGTGCAGAAAATCTAAGAATATGTCCTCACGATGAGGCCATTATTTTCCAGGTCACTCTGTTGGTACAAAAATACAACCAGTGTGAGGCGGGGTGTCATTCTCCTCTGTCACATCCCGCGCTCCCTCTTCTCTCATCCCCTCCCCATAGGCCTTGTCTGGGCTTCTGTCACAGTCTGTAATTGGCTACTTTATTCATTTGTAAATAAATGGTATCCTCCCATATCCTCAAAATAGACAAACTTTGACTGCTGGTGATGGCCTGAGGGGAGAGCAAAGCGTGTGCCTGCTTACAGAGAGAAGTTCAGAGCCAGCTTTCAGGCTCCTGAGGCCGCCAGGCTGGCTGCTAAAATGACTTGACCACATGTGTGCAAAGCAGGCCATGGGCCTCGGGTGTGTTTACCATCGGTCTGATTCTCTTGGGTCCACTCTTCCTTCCAGACTGTGCATTAGGACCTAGGTGGGGGAGAAGAGCTTGGGAAAAATAGACAAGCGGCAGGACAATTCAGAGGCGGTACAATCTAACGTGTTAGAGCACTGGCTGTGAGTCTGACAGATGAGATACAGTTCTCCCTCCCTCACAGAGGTGCAAATGTGGAGAATGAAAACCCCTCCTGATTTCCAGTTTTGTCCTCATTGATAGCCACATGGGATGAAGTGTGAGAAAGGTCTCCGCTCAGCTCCTGGTACAGAGCAGGCACTGATCAAATGTGCCCATTATTAGCTTGTTTTTATTTTTAAGTTGCACGTGTTGCCAGATGATTTATTGGGAGTGTCTCATCATGTTCCTCATCTATATTTACAGGATTTTTCTATTTCTTCAGTGGATCGTCACAGTTTGAGTTTGACCCCAACGCCAGGACGGTGACACACGTACTAAAGAGTAACAGCTGGTTACATTGTTAGGTGAGAGTGAAGACAGACACTGGCATTTCAAATGAACTTAACAATTACTCACCTTTTTATTATGAGTCAAAATGGTTAATTATCCCTGCATCTGCTGTGGCTAAACACGAGCCTTGCAAACATCTTCCTGTGTCATGGGGCATTTGTCTGGAATACGCCACCTGCTTTGAATAGAACTGAGAATACGTGCCACAGACAAGAGGATGGATTTCTAGGGGTGTTTTTGTCAATTATTTAATAAACATTTCTTTATTTTGGCCTGTTCCTTGCTTTTGAGACCAATACATGTTCAATAACTGACCACACTGGGGACTGAGCATTTGACAGCCTCTCTGCCAGTAGGTGGAGTAAGTCCATGCGCCCTGTGGATGGGCCACATGGCCGTCCCCTACCCTCTCCTATTCTCTGTACCCACCGGGTCTTTTGCCAATGGCTGTCCACTATCCCATCCTCATTGCCACTTGTCGGCCCGGGCTGGCCACCCCTGGCCAGTTTATTGTCTGGCCCAGGACCGCTGTGTTAAGAACAATTGCTCTTAAGTGCCTGAGGGCTATTTGCCTTAGGAAGAGAGAGAGAGAGAAACAGTCTTTGAGGGAGAGAAACAGTTCTAGTAAGAAAGTCAATCTTAGCAGTCTTCTGGGAGAGACGCCGGGCAGACGCCGGGCAGACGCCCTGCGGGCGGGAGAAGGGAAAGAGTCAGAGTGAGTGGTCCGTGAAAGCATGCGGCTCCCCGACTGCCTTCTCCTGCAGCTTCTTTTAGACGTGATCTCATGGCTCCTTGCACCCCAGGGGTAGAGACTGCCAAGCACTGACGCTCTCGTCTCCGAGCTCTCATGTTAGGAGACCCGAATCCCTTCCCCATGCCCTGATCACCAAGGTGTCATAGTACCCAGCTGTTACAGGTGTTTCTTATCATTCTCGCCTCTCCTTCTCACGAGCTATATGGTCTGCTACAGTCTTTATTTTCACCTCATAGATGATGTAAGTGTTTCTTACACACCTAAGAAGTAAAGAGGTAGGTCAAGAGTTACTCTGTAGTACTGGTTCTGAACCAGACTAAGGAATAGAATTCTTAAAGTGTTGAGCCTGAGAAGTCGGCATGTCATCCAACGGGCTTCATAATTGTTTAGGTCAGGAAACAGAACTCATTTGTCGTTTAGCATCTTGTGTTATACACCGAATCTTTCTTCAGTAGTGTTCCCTGCCTGCCCTAGACATCAAATTCCTTATGGCGTCCTCACCCTCTCAGTAGAATATTCTCTAGTTGCCATTCGGTACCTGGCAGCTCCCGGGTGTGCACAGGCCAGTGGCATGGCAAATGTATCACCACCAAAGTGTGCCTCACACCATACCAGGCACACGGTGGGACCTTGTTCTTTCTTTTATGGACTCGCTGGAATGCCAAGGCCTGTCACATGCAAAGTACAGAAGAGTGAGGAAAACACATGAAGCCCAACCTCATGAGTTCTGTGTGGCAGGAGACAAATCAAACAAAAGAACAAAAATTAATACGTAACCACACGTTATGTGCAGAGGGAGAAATAACAAAATGGTAGGGCTTGGTTATCAGAGAAAGTCTCTCGGGGACAATGATGAAAAGAGAAAAGCATCTAAAGCCACTTGGCCAAGGCAATGGACGGGGAGAGCAGAGAGACCATTCCAAGAAAAGAAAATGCAAACTGGTGTTGAGGCCCAGTGGTGGAACAAATCTCGGCATGTTTAAGGAACTAAAAGAAGCTGGGTAGCTGATTAGAGTGCTGGGGTAGAGAAGGAACGAGAGGATAAGCCGAATCAGATCAGTGGGCCTTTCAGGTGTATTGAAGAGCCGCATTTTGTTTTTGTGCACTGCGAGTTTGTTGAAAGAGAAGATTACCGCTCTTCTGTTACTTTCAGAGAAGTGACACCATCTGGTCTATATTTTGAATAATTGTTCTAGCTGGAAGTAATGGGAACAAAGCAATGATGGAAGTTGGCATGTAGGTCAAGGGCTATTATAGATGACAGGGAACCCTCAGGGAGGGGGAGGATGAAAAAGATAACTTGATTTAGGATAGATGAGGGCTGTCCGGAAAGTATCCAGCCACTGTCAATCAGCTTTTCCACAGTCTATGGCTGGTTACTTTCCAGACAGCCCTCATATTTTGACATCACTCAAATTTACTGATGGACTAAATAAACAGTTCTGAGGGGAATGAGGTGTTAAGAATAGCTCCTGCTCATGCCTGTAATACCAGAACTTTAGGAGGAGGACGACGATTGTGAGAGGCCGGGAGTTTGAGACCTGCCTGGGCAATATCATGAGACCCCGTGTCTACAAAAAGGAAAAAAGAGAGTAGCTCCTAGATTTCTGGCTTGAACACTTTTTGGATGGCGGCAGCTTCAACAGAGTTAGCGAAACAAAGACTGCAAGAGATGTAATTTTGTGGGTAGTTAAAAGAGTCAGTAGGAATCTTCTCATTTTTAAAACAGAGAAATTCCCATAAGGCAACCAAGTAAAGACATTCACAGGCCATTAGATAAAATAGTGTGGAGTCAAAGCAAGGCAGATGCAACTACAGGAGTCCCGCAGCAGCCGTCATGTCGCGGAAATAGATGAGGTTACATGGGAAGATCGCAGAGACTGTTCAGCACTAAACCTTATAAAATCAACTGTCACTAAGGCCAGGCCAGGTTATGCTGTGGCAATGAGCAAACCTCAGTGGCTGGGAATTGAAAGTGCATCGGGGGTTCTACCGGGGTCTCCACTTCATGCTGAGAAGCAGGCTGACGCAGCAACCACCGCTTTGAGCTCTGCTCTTCCTCACGGCAGAGGGAACGAATGATGGTAAATCTCACACTGACTCCCAAAGCTCAGTGTGGATGCTGCAAATGGCATTCTGCCACATGCCAGAGGCCAGAAAAAATTATATTGCCTCACTAAAGCCAAAGATGGGAAAATGGTATCCTCACACATACCTGGGAGGAGGATCAGAAACATTTAGTAGAGAGTTCTTAACTATCACAAAGGACTTTTTCTTGTCAAAGGATAAATATTTTTCTATATTTTGCATATTTCACACTAGTTTTTTGAATTGGATTCCATGTAAATGACCTGAAATCCAAAAGGAAAGAAACATTAATTAGTAGAAAATTTTTTACCCTCTCATCTGGGCAACCTCATTTGCTTTGAAGCCTTCCATCTAGTCTGTGAGTCGCCCTTCACTTTTTCTAACTTCACGTATCTCAGAGACGGTAGCACATCAGCACATCAGTAGCACAGCGTTGCCCCATCCCATTAAACATTTATGGAGTAACGCCGTGTATGAATCTGTAATTTATTTCACAATCCTTCATTAGTACACATTTGGGTTTGTTTTCACTATTTTGCTTTTGAAAAAATACTGTAATTAAAATCCTTTTACATGTGTCATTTCATGGGTGTGAGCATATCTGTTGAAAACCAATTTCACTTAAGAGTTCGGTATCAGAAGAAGAACTGGAAAAGCAATTCACTGATTTTGAGATACAACGGTCATGACGATTCCGAACGCAGCAGCATGGACGGGACCTGGGGGCAGACATCTGAGCCAAGCATCCTTCAGGATGATTAGGTACAGGTTGGCTTAATAGAGAAAGCGTGTGGATTCACCAATCCTTTAGGTATGTGAAGATGGGAGAAATAGGACTCTTGTGGGTCTGTCACTCCCTCAGCATTGTGTGACCTCTCCAGACGTGTCCCTTCTTCAGTGTTCCCTGGTTCAGATCCTGCGCCACCTTCTCCTCACATCTTCGGCTCAATATCGCAGGTGCCTTTGGCGTCTTTATTTTTCCCACAGGCCACATCCCCTCAGTTGCCGTGCCTTGGGCATTCTGCCTGTGCTGTGTCCAGAGACGGTGAAATCACAAGCACAGCAGGAGAGAGGCAGAGTGGACGGGAGGGGACACATGGGGCATGTCACTCGGTCTCTCTAGTGCCCACGCCACTGCCCTCTCGGCAACTCCCTCCTTCTTCCCCACCTGTGGAAGACCACCATCCTCCAGAGAGCATTTCCCCCTTTCTTCATGGTACCTTCCCACATAAAACGAGCTTCTGACATAGACCAGAGAGTCTTAGAATGAATTTTGTCCTCAGCAATTTCTTAGAGCATCGGGTGTCAAACGAGTATCTGTTCAGAATAGGGACAGGGGTTGAAACTGGTGTCAAGAAGCTGTCACAGATTCGGGTGCTAATGAGGAGCTACGATCCAGGGGGCAAAACACACAGTCAGAGGGGCGTGAAGCGGAGTCCAGTCATACCCCAGTCAAGCAGATGATGCTGGACGGTGAGTCCGTGGAGAGCCCAGCCGGTGGGAGGAGGCCTGAGAAAGCCCAGGCTGGCAGGCCAGCGGCTGGCCCTGGGAGGCTGGACGCCACGGTCAGCGGGGGCCAGCTGCTTGTTAAAGGGAAGAGCGCAGCGTAATTCCAAGAAGGGGACAGGCCAGTGCAGGCCTAGGATCCAAACAGCCATCTCTGAGCAGGAACTAAAATAGCTTCCTTGCAATTTAGGACTCAGCCAAAGATTTTGAATAGACTTAAAATCCACACAGGATAACCAGACTGTTTTCTTCTCTACAGTCACAACACTGGTAACAACACACGTGTAGGGTTTTGTTGTTTGCACTAACTACTTTTTCAACTTTCCCCCAACATTAGCGGGGTACCCTGCAATCCAGCTGTGACTCTGAATACCCGGAGTTAGCGCTCAGTCCTGTGAGCTTGCTGCCCTCACTTCAGACGAAGTGGCATGTCCAGGCCTCCTGCACTTCTGACAGGCCAGTTGTAAACCGAGGGTTCCAACAAGCCCCTCCTCATGTTCAGAAATTTGCTGGAATAGCTCACAGAACTCAGAGAAACATTTATTCACGTTTCTTATAAAGGTCATCACAGAAGAGGAAGAGGCAGGATATGAAGAAAGGACAGGCAACCTCCACGCTGTCTCTGGCTCACCGCCCTCTCACATCGTGGTGAGTTTTGTTCACCAA